ATGGAGACACAGTGCCAAACAGCTTCGAAAGATAAGGTCCGCTAATTGAGAGGGTGAAGTGGAACGACCTGGTATTGCGTTGTTCCGTCTGGGTGTCTTGTTGATGAAGAAATGGTAGATTTTTTTTCTTTCTGATGGTTTGAGTATCTCCTTAATTGTAGATTCATTTGTTGTATGTGCGTTTTTTTTTTTAAAGTTTTACATTGCTTAGTTTGGTTTAATTTAAAAATCTTTGAGTTTTTTTTTAGGGAACTGGAAAGTGAATGAACAGACAGTTATAAATAGATACAAATTTGGCTTTCCGACGACAAAGTAAAAAATAAAATATTCATGGCGGTGCTTGAAATGAGAGAAGAAATATCTTCCGTTTTTTTCCCCAATCGCAAAGCTTTCATTAGGCATTAGTAGATCCGTGAAATACTAATAGCTTAACATGATGGAAGGAAAAACTTGAATATCCAAAAAAGTAATTCTAAAAGTGAGTTGTGACTGAAAATATTTCAAAAACAGCGCTAAAATATGGGCGATGAAATGGCTTGTAAAATTCAATACATCCAAAATATGACTAGTGACATTCCACCATAACTGATAGACGATCACTTTCATGATGGATGCGTCTTACTTTAATGAGGCTCCTTGATTTGAACATCTGTTGGGACTCAAGCTCTCTCCAGATCTCAAGTGGAACTTATATATGATCTGTCGCTAAAGATGCAAGAAAAGTGTTTGGTTCATTTTACTGCTCCAGTAAGTACCTGGCTCCTTCTGTTATACTCTATCTGTAAAAAAAAAATCAGCTCAGACCCAAAATGGAGTATTGCTTAACTGTCTCAATAAAGGATAAAGGATTCTTATCCACCTTTCCCACAGACGAAATGTCACATGTCTCTCGCTATTCGATCGGTATTTAAATGACAAGCCTTCTGACGAACTACAATCTTTTGTACTATCAGCCCCAAGCATGGTAGCTGGGCACCGCCAAGCCACAATCACAGGGAGAAACTATCATCATTCTTTTCGTATTCCATTAGTGAGGAGTAAGTTCCGCTTGGAAAAAATTCTTCAAATCTATTTATAACATAAATATATATATATATATATATATATATATATATATATATATATATATATATATATATTGAACAATAAAAAATTACAAAATTAAAATCTTCAGACGCACTGGGTTGTAGATTAATATTCTTTCGTTTTATTATTATTATTATTTCATTTAGATTCCTCGACTAGTTTCCGCCCAAAAATGGCCATCATCGGGAGGAGAAATATTTCTGATTGCTGGTAGCAGTAAACTATACACGTACACATACACATCTATACAGGGCGTAACAGCAAAATTGTCCAACTCAAAAAAGTTGTATATCTAAAAAAAACACTAAACTATGTTCCTTTTTTCGAGGTTTTCAAATAAGACATTTCATCATCTTGACACTATTCTTCGGAAGAATCACTGAAAAACACTTTAAAAAGAGAACAAATTAATATCGTTTTATATCAGACACACTATATCTTCCCAAATGAGCATTGGTGTGAGGAAAAAGATTATTCAAGGCTTCAGTAATTGTACGAACATTCATACTCTGGCTTCCTATTCCAAGTACATTCAAGACCATGAAGAGAACGGGGAATAAGTTTAAAAAAGCGGGAAGAATAGAGAGAAAAACTGGATCAGGATGTCACATCAAGAAAAAGGGATCATCTTTTCAACTCAGAACTAAATACATTATTATTGTTCAGAATTGAGTCCAATAGCGTTTTGATAACTTCAGAGGATTTAAGTAAGATATGTTTAATCATTTCTAAGATAAACGGTTCAAAACTTAATCTAACAATTGGACATTTTTGCCAATTCCTCATTCAGTATCCTTTTCTAGGTTACAACAGATATATAGCTACATATATATATATATATATATAAACATTGAATGCTTCTGCTAATGACAGAGTACTTGATGAATAATAAAAGAGCTCCAGATTATTGGTTTATGTATGAAACTCAGAGATTTCTTACCGGCGAGGAAAAACAATACCGTACAACAATACTGACGTATATCAAAATGTATTCGATGCTGCTGCCTTGAAGAAAGACATGCAGGACAAGCAAATATAATAAAGGGTCAAAACACCTTATGTAACCGCACACAACCTTGGTTTCGACCGTCAGGTCTTTTCATGCTGCGGGCAATAAATCTTCGTAATACCATAATACATTGATACAGGTATGGCACCAGAAGTAGAGAAGATATTTCCTTGAACATGACCGGCAAGGAAAATTGAATTGTTTATTTAATTGTTTCCAACATCCTCATATTTTTTCCGTTTGGTGGGAGTGCAGAAATTGTCCGTATTGTCCATTGAACCAAGCGTTTTACGTTAATTCTTTAACCATTTTAAATAATTTGTTTTTAGTCGTTGTTAGTTTATTTTCACTTTGACTGATAATAATGGATTTAAACCATGCTTGAAAATCAACATTGTGGCTTTGTATATGAGCTCAGGAACCAGACCTTATCGCTTGTGGTTAATATACAATTATTCCACCTTGCAAAGTTTCCCATTATAGACAGTTGCATTTTATCAAACTCAGTCAGTCTATGGTACATTAATGTTTTCACTAATAGGTAGTGGTTGCTTTTTTTAAGATTTCAACCCAAGTAAGGTAATAAAGCCCTTAAATTTCAAGGGGTTACTGAGTTTGAGAGAATATTTTTAAAGAATATCTTAAGAAGAGGAAATACTTTTACTTCGTTTTAACAGTGACTGACCCAAGCCAAATGTGAGAATTAACGTGCAGTGTAGTCAACAGGCAATTAGTTTAAAAAAGCCGATACATTAAGTTCTTATGTCGGCTTCAACTACGATAAAAGTTGGAATACATCCATTAATAATATTTCATATTTGCTTTGCCATAAATTGATGTCTAATTGTTGTAAGGGTTACTGAATGAGAAAACAGTGGCTGGAATTGAAATGTTATAAAAACATCAACAAAGTACAATACACACCACCAGCGTGAAATATGTAAACCACTGCTAGTGGTTGACTACTTAGACAGCATATTAACCCCCACTTACAATAGTGTCCAACGTATTTATGAGGATTGGGACATTAGTATTCATAGTTGCGGTATATAACACTATTCCAGTCGGTTCATATCTATCTATCTATCTATCTATCTATCTATCTATCTATCCCAGTCTGTTCATATCTATCTATCTATCTATCTATCTATCTATCTATCTATCTATCTATCTATCCCAGTGTGTTCATATCTCTCTATTCTAGCCTGTTCATATCTATCTATCTATCTATCTATCTATCTATCTATCTATCTATCTATCTATCTATTCTAGCCTGTTCATATCTATCTATCTATCTATCTATCTATCTATCTATCTATCTATCTATCCCAGTCTGTTCATATCTATCTATGCTAGCCTGTTCATATCTATCTATCTATCTATCTATCTATCTATCTATTCATCTATCTATCTGTTGTAACCTAGAAAAGGATACTGAATGAGAAATAGGCAAAACGGATGTTGGAAATGAAATGGTAATCTTTATAACATCAACAATATACGATAGTCGCCAGCGGCGTGAATTATGTAAACCACTGCTAGTGAAGAACTACTTAGACAGCATATTACGATATTTACCTGCTTCCCCATGAGGCACGATGCGACACATGGCCAAATTTAATGTGATGAAATCCGAGCCAGTGGGCTCGGGCAAAAATTACCCGTAGACCCCGAATACGCAAGATCGGATATTTGTCTACCTCCTCGGTATAGCCTCGTCCGGGTTACTTTCTGCCTTTGGGCAGAGAGTTCGACACGGCAAGAGCTTTGCACGCTGACAGCTCACCCTTCCACAGTAGACAGCTTATTGCCCCCACTTACAATAGTTTTCAACGTATTTATGAGGATTAGGACATACACATTAGTACACTATTTACATTATTCGGACTATTGTCCTCATCTTTGTACCCACATTTATTACAACGTTCCGGCCATTGTACGCTCTGGCCTTCTTCAGGTGGTTGCAATGTCGATCTGGATCCTTTATTTCGCTCAATGGGGTAGACTGTTCTAGTTCCACGTGCCATGATTTTTTTTAACTCTTATCACCCCAAGAAACGCAATAAAATAAAAAAAACAATACAACGCAATTATTTACTGAGTGTCAAAAATACAAGAACAACTTTATTAAATGGTGTGAAGAATAGAATAACAGAAATTAATAAGGCAGAAGATAGCAATTGGCATTGCATTTAAATTGTTGAAGATTTAAATCCACTGGAAAGAAAGGTGCTGGAAGAGTGTTCTACAAGCGTGAAGTGTGAGAGGAGAAACTGATAGCATAGAACCTACGGTTACATCTCGCCATTCCCACATTGATTTGACGAAAGCAGGAGGCCAATCTAGTACTGCTCTTAAATTCGTAAAATCTAGGGACCAAAGAGGAAAGCTCATCAGGCAATATTTATAGACATGGAAAGTATGTTACGGCGGCAGGAAAGTGTCGGAACCGAGGTGCCATATCAAGTCCAACATCATTGCAGATTCTTCTTTTTTTGGCATTTACATATTATTCGAATATAGCAATAGTAATAAAAATAAATTTTAAATGAGCCAAAGTAAATACTGAAAAGAACTCTTTCAGACGAGAATAATATTACCACACAGATATTTCTTTAGACTCATATCTACACCTTAGTTGTTAGTGTCAAACCGTTTGGCTTGCGTAATCCAGGCATTATCCAGCTGTTGATTATTTCAGTTTCAATTCTTTATTCTATGTACGGGATTAAATTAGTCACCTGCCGCTACACTTGCGATCAGAAACCAGATAATTATCTATTAATTATTTGTAGCCAGTTCAACGTTCCACTTAATATGGGACGTTTTCCACCCAAAAAACGAATGGATTAAACACATGTCTGCCAGTTAACTAGAAGCGCTCAGGCAATGCTTTATCTGCTATAATCTGCTCTGGTTGAATTGAAAAGGCCAGTGATATCACAAGAGCTGTTATTATAAGATTAATTATTGATAAAAGATTTCTGTTTACCCTTTGTTCCTCCTTGATGCACACTGCAAACGGATCCGCCATGTTTACACTATAACAGCATGAAGAAAAAAGTGCGGATAATCTTTGGTTTACCATCGTATTTACAGAAAATAGAGTTCGTTTTGCTTAAGGATAATTCGTATTTAAGTAGTCTACCTAAATCTATGTTCTTGTTACTTGATGTGTATGTAGCATACTGTACCTTTCGATTAATATTTACTTAAATGTTTTTCACTTCATAAGTCTTGGGTATGAAGATAAACTAGATCCGTCCGCATGGCCTCTAATCGGTAGATTACATATTTTGAGGAGCGTTGACCACTTTTTAATTGCTTTTATTCCCAAGTCATCCCTCACCCGGGTTTGGAGCAACTGGGCAAATAGTGAAACTCAAACAAAACAATATGAAAATATAGAAATACATTCTTAGTAAAATTGCCAGGAATTCATTTTTATGTTAAAAAAGAGGTGCGCTGCCTAAGAAGGTATTTCGAACTCGGCACTTGTTACGGAGAAAATGCTTATTAGTACGCATAGAGACAAAAAAATTATTTGAACAAAGTATCTATGAACAACATGGTCCTTTTTGTCATCCTCTGCCAGCCACATATGATGGAGAAATCATTACCTCGCACTAACGCCAGTGAGACACGCTGCAAGAGCCATTCCGTTTCGCGAGGCTCGTCCCTTCATGGAGACGCCATCTTGCCCACCCTTCGAAGGAATACCATCGAACGAGGACCAATAACCACAGAAGTCTTATCCAACATTATCAGTAATATAGTTTAGTTGAAGGAATAAAATTACGTTCAAAATATACTTAGTTGAAATCATAAAATTATTCAAGTTATTTACATTTCAGCATTAAATAACCCGCAGAGATATTGATATGTCGTTAAACAAAATCAACAACCAACACGAAAAAACACTTTCGTGACATTAAGCCATATATTATCCGACATTTTCTGTATTCGAAAATATAACTTTTTATAAGCTGATCATTATTTTACTTCGAATCCATAATTAAAACCTATCAAAAACACATCATCCCCTATAATAATTATGTCCACACAAACATGTATATGCACAAATGCTGAGTAGCATCTGCCATGTATTATATTGTGAAAGCAGAATAACATATTTTAATTTTTAATTACATCAAATGTCCCAAGAAAATTAAATTTGCATTAAATGAACCATAAAGAATTTGATAAGCCGTTAAATAAATCAATCAATAAATAATTGTCACTTACTAAGTCTTAGCTAGTTGGGTATATCCTCTAATAGAATGAAATTATTCAGGGAGAATAATAGACACGTTGGTTATATGTTTATAATGCGATCATATTTTATATATTTTACGTTAATGAAAAGTAGTCAGCACAATTTCCTGACTGGGACACTGCAATTAGCCAATGATTATCATATGCACGTTCTATCTATTACAAGAAAACCCTTCTCCTAGTGAAAAGAGACACTTTTCATTGTCAAAATTATTTTGAACTCTTTTTCTCAACTTTATTTTTATAGATGTTATTATAGGAAACATAGATCATCATCAGGTACCCCTTGTTTTTAGCAGTTATCGGTTACATCTTTATTACTTTATCATTTAATCCTTTCCATGCCATATCCATGTCATTCTTGTATTCACAATGTCATATAATCGAAAACAAAGACATTTCGAAATAATTCAAGAATATACTAAACATTGAGAGACACACTACAGTATTGAATTGTGGCTCTGACTGTGGAATCGGAGAGCCAAGTTCGAAAGCTAGAAGAGGTCATTACGTGGTAACAACCTGGAGGAAGGCATGAATCCAACACTTCTCCTCTCTGTTATGGGTAAATAGTAGGAGAGATTGGTTTCTATAGTACTGGGATGCAGGTGGTCTAAGAAAAGGAAAACTCTGAATTCAAACGTGTATACAGTCCTGGCGAAGCACATAGAATGCAACCAAGGAAAGGATCGTTCGCATTGACTCGATGATCGGAATTGCTGTCGATTTCTTTACAAATACGTTATTTTTTTAAAAAAATAGAATAGATTAAATTATAGAAAAAATTATCAGCCATGAAAAATAAAAACAAACTGCCGTAGAGTTTGTTAGAAACATATAGTACTTCTGAAAACAATTTTATTGATAGAGTCAGATGAAGGTAAAAATGGAAAAATAAGCATGTTGTGGCGTGATTTTCTTTTTTAAAAAGGAGTTTCTCCCTCTAAAATTATACAAGGCGAATAATAGACACGTTGGTTATATGTTTACAATGCGATCATAGTTTATATATTCTCCGTTAATGAAAAATATTCAGCACAATTTCCTGGCTGGGACAATGCAATTAGACAATAATTATCATATGCACTTTCTATCTATTAAAAGAAAACCCTTCTCCTGGAGAAAAGACATCTGACTTGACTTTCTAGAATTAGCGTGATAGTGAAACGTTTGTGTATTAGTCGACAAATACTGCGGAGACTCTCGCAGTGACAAAAACGATACGATCAGCAACGGAACAGCAACAATATTTCGTGACTGTTTGTATTAGCGAATCGATAGAAAGAAGACCAACTTTTATTATCTTGGAGAAGGACGATAAAACATGGAACGTATTAGATGTCGATGTTCCAGAATACCAGTGATAAAAAATAAAATAGAATAAAATGCTGGTGAGTTTTTTTTTTTTTTTAACAGAGTAGATAACTGTATATGGAAAAATGAAGTTTATATCACTAACAATCCTTAGACTACTGTGAATGATCCCGAAAGAATACTTAGCAAAAGAAACTTACTGTAAAAAAATGGCACCCCGAGAAAGACATAAGACCGTCCAAGCAACATCATGGCTGTAAACTGGTGGAATATTTAGGGAAGTGATGGAGAATATGAAGAAGGTAATAACAGCATTAATCATATTATATTTGTGCTCGTTCCACTGTTAGTTAGCACGGACACTACGCCCTGCCATTACCTCAGATAAATAATAAACCATAACGTTTTGATCGCGAAAGATGTAAGACAATTTATATCAGAGACGCCATTTGGGTTTAGTGAAGATAAAGTAAGTATACATAATAAAAAGAAAGGAAAAAATAAAGAAAAGTGTATAAAGGAGTCGATAACGCTCTCATGAGTTTAATAACTGCTTCAGTGAAATAGAGAACTTTGTCAATTATTCTTTTGTTTTTATGTCGTTTCATGACGTAGGCGATAATGGCTCTCGACCTCCCTCTATCCTTTTCAACTCTTAATAAGTTCTTTCACTCTGCCATTTATCCCCAGACCACACTCTGTCATCCACAATCTCAAACCCACTAGGTATGCCATTAGTCGGTTTCCTTTGTCTCTTTTCCCCTCTATTTGGCCCATGAGTATCAGATTCTCCAGGTCCTTCTTCCTTATATGTGTCCCAGAAACTTCAGCTGCCTCTTCCTGATGTTAAATATAAGCCTACTCCTTGTTTGCAATCTCTCTAAGACTTCATTTTTGCTCACACGCTCGGTCTATGATATCCATAGCACCTTTCTCCATCGCCTCGAGTCTTTTCTTCATCTTTGAAGAAATCGTCCAACATTCACTGCCGTAAAGATGAATATATATCACGTTTGTTACCAAAGACATTCCCCTGTCTAGCAATACTCTGCCCTACTTTTAGATTGCGTTTTCAACCTTCAATCTTCGAGAAATATTATGTTGCTTTAATTCATATGGTTGTTCTATGCAATAGTTTGTGAAAGTTGTTAAGCTGAAATATTTAATTCAGTAGGGAAATTTCAACGAGTATTTCATAGTCTTGTGACTCACAAGTTGAATATTCAGTCATTAAATAAGAATTTAATTAATTTGAAAATTCAAATTGGAAAAAAAAAATACCTGGAAATTTTGAATAAATTGAATTCTGTAGATCAGTTAGTCACACGGATATAGTTGTTTTGCACACAAGGTTACCTCCCCTAATGACAAGTACCGCGTGAATTAGGCTACGTGCTTGTAAATAAAAATTGGATTCTGTGAACAGCTGAGAAAATATCCATGTATGAAAGTTAGGATGGGAATAAAAACAAGACCTTGTAACATGAGTAATGAAATTCCATCTTGGATTAGTGGAATCAGGAGATTATTAAATAAATAAAGAGGCGGACACATAACATTGTTGAACAAATATTGTATATATCTCGAAGCAAAAGCACAAAATGTCTTTTCCATTTCACGAGAAACACAAAATGTCGGACCACATGTTAATAAAATGCTTTTACTTTATATATATATATATATATATATATATATATATATATATATATATATACTGTTTTCGAAAAAGCCCTCGAATTTTGATTTGCCAATAATCAAATCAATCTCGAGGAAAAAAGGTTTTAAAAAAAGAAAGAGCTAGAAACATGAAAGTCTGTCGAAAAAAATCTCACAGATACAGGTTTGAAGCCCAGAGAAAGCCGGCTTTCCTGATGATCCGTTTAAGTGAAATCTGGGTAGGTTTGTCTGGGTCATATATATATATATATATATATATATATATATATATATATATATATATATAAAATATAAAAAATATATATATAAAATTATTATTTGCACTATATTGTTCAGACTGTTGTCTTCATTATTATTGAAACATTCACAACGTATCAACCGTTGTACTCTTATCTCTCATTCAGTTTTTGTTAGTCAGGGGTGGGGTCGAAGGGAACTCTTTATTTTGTTCCCGGTTTATAATATTTTAATTCCACGGGGCCATGCCTTTAGATATCTCAGTTTTAGTTAATTCCTCTTGTTAACACAACACTCTAAGTTTTTGTTCTCTCTGCTGTAGCCAGGTATTGAACACACGACCCAAGCAGACGTGATCCACTGGATAAAAGCGTTGGTTGGTTGATCTAAAATCACTTGACCCAAAGTGTTGTGACTTTATTACCTGCCTATATAACACTACACTGATCATTAGAGAAAAAGTGTTCTTGATGAATTTACTAACCAGGTTTATTTTAAGTATTCGTCTATAATATATATACTCGTGTATAATAAGCAGCGCTAATTTCAGCTGTGAAATTCTTGAAATACTATTCATGTATGAGGCGCATAGTTGTTTTAGAATTTATAGCAGTTACATTTAACGAAATTTAAAAAAAAAATCTTTTTATTTGGTACGTATTGACTAAAACAATACTTTTTATATCTTATATTTTGCTTCCAAAGACAAGATATTCGTTCCTGACATTTAGCATTTGATTTGATTTTTTCGAGTTACTGCTAGATTAGGGCGTAAAAAGAATAAGTACAATTTTCGATAACCCTCTAAGTGGTATCAATTTAAACGATCTAGTTCTTTAGTTTGCTTTCCTCTATCGCTTTTGTATAAAATGAAGAAGAAAATTACAAGATGGCGAACTCGAACGCGCTTACAAATCTGACAACATAGGCGAAACTTTATAACGTCTATATTTTGAAATGTCAGCAGTAAAATAGTGTTTTATATCTATGTGAATACATATAATTTTAAATCAAATGCCGTGTTTAGAGATTGAAATAATATTATTATTTTTAATAACGTTCCCCCCAAAACAAGACTAAAGAAAAACTCAAGGTAGAGTGTCACAGAATGATGTTGTTGCATAAGCGTAAGGGGGGGGGGTGAGGAAAGAAGTTCAGTTTTTGACGATATATAGGAAAGATAGCTGTCAAACCTAGACTTGAAGAGGTTAAAAGCAACTGAAGGTAGAGGGTTACTGAATGAGATTGTGGTATGAGCATACGAGGAGACGGTACGAAGTGCAGTTTATGAAGATATGTAGGAAAGATAACGGTCAGATCTACACTTAAGAGCCACTCAAGGTAGAGTGTTACTGAATGAGGCTGTTTTATGGAGGTAAGAAATGAAGTTAGCACCTGTTAGGTTCCCAGCTATAGGCAAATAGTTAACCCATTAACTGGGGCCAAAATACTGTGAAATTATAAAAATAAATTTTTCTAGTAAAAATACACGTAAAATATTTTCGAAAAAGATTACCAGCAATAAATTAAAAAAAAAAAGTATTACTAGCAATAAGTATTAATAGCAATATATTTGACTCGCGATAAAAAGTCTCTTCACAAAACTACGTTAATGAAACCTAATCTACAAACTGATTTCTTACAATGAATACATATTCTATTCATACGAACCTATCCTAAACATCTTGTCGGCATTAAATAACCACTTTAGATGTTGATATGCCTTAAAACAAAATAAAGCCAAACCTAAAATTTGTTTTTATATAATTTCTCGTAAAACATAGTTTATCTTCGAACAAGCGAATAGATTTGGGCCTCTCATTCCATCAAATCGGTTGATATTTTGCCTGATCAAAAGTTATTCTCTTTTCAAATGGTTTATTTTGCGATCTTTCAGTATTTATATGACATATTTTCTTATTACACTAGTATTATTTAAAAGAGTTTACTGTCAAAATCTTTTGTATCTGTGTAGAATCACTGTTGTAGGTTTTTATCTTATTGCTTAAATAACAATGGTATTTTCGAAGTGATTCTATACTATATTAATTTCTATTTTTTTTTTTTGTTGTTGTTGTTTTAATTCTATAATGTCTGGATACTTGTAACTAAGCAATCATTATTCAATAGGTCAAATTTTGCCGACAAAATTGATCTCTTTGTCCGGTGAAATTGATTCTGGCAAGATAAAAAAAACAAAAAAAAGATACTGCTTTGATAAACACACACACACACACACACACACACACACACACACACACACACACACACACACACACACACACACACAGACAGACAGACACACAGGCATACACACACACACAGACACACACACACAGACAGATAGACAGACAGACACACACACACAGAGACACACACGCACACACACACACACACACAGACATACACACACACAAATGGAAATCAACGTCGAAGGCCACTTACTGATAATTTTTTCTTTCGAAAACAATGTAGACTATCAGAAATAAACTCTTTTTTCCCGAAAATATAAATCGATCTTCAAACGATTACAAACTATTATCTATTGTCTATAATAAATTCATTTGAAAAAAAAATCCCTGTTCATTTTTGTTTCTGTAGCGAGAAGTCCGCTGTTTTACCGTCTACACCCTTGCGCAAATTAACTGAAAAAAAAGCTTTAGTTTCTCTGTACGATCAGTTTTAACCCACTGGAATGACAGGGTGTAATCGATTTCTTTTTTTTTTTTCCTTACATTAAATCATTTGCAGTAATGTTCAGCAATATGAATTTATTTTCGGGGTGTATGATGAAATTTGTTTGGCCTTGAAAGATATTGCGTCATCCGTGACTGATTTTCTTCACGCCCAGACACTTTTGTCTCGACTGTCGATTAGTTGCCCTACGGTCATTGTCCGCGATGGACGTTACTCCAAGGAAGCATACGAAAATTGTAATGCTGCAAAAACACTCTGGCAAGCTTTCCCAGTGAACGAATCAAAGTACTACAGAGTAACCCGGAAACTCTCTCGATTTAAATCCAATCGAGAATTTGGGGTCAACCAGTAAGAAAAGACTTCGTGAAATGGACATACGAACATGTGCACTGTGTGATGTTTCGTTGGGAAAATACGAAAAAGCAAATAATAACGGGATTATCGGTTTTGTTTCAATTTATTTGCAAAATGGTTTAGGTTTCGAATTGGGAAACATTCTGATGCTTGATGAACAATGCTCAATTTCATCCAGTAGGGCATACCACTGGAATTCCACTCTCTCTCTCTCTCTCTCTCTCTCTCTCTCTCTCTATATATATATATATATATATATATATATATATATATATATATCTTTGTTTTCTCATTATTTTCTGTCTTTCTCTCTTCTCTCTTTCTCTCAGTCAGTGTCTCTCTCTCTCTCTCTCTCTCTCTCTCTCTCTCTCTCTCTTTTCTCTCCTCTCTCTTCTCTCTCTCTCTCTCTTTATATCTTTGGTTTTCTCATTATTTTTCTGTCTTTCTCTCTTCTCTCTTTCTCTCAGTCAGTGTCTGTCTGTCTGGATGTCTCTCTCTTTCACTCTCTGTCTCTCACCCCCTCTCTCTCTCTCATATATATATATATATATATATATATATATATATATATACTTGCATTCAACATCATCACTTGATAAGACACCGGGAGTGTTGAAACAAAATGGCTATTTTTGTAGTTATTTTATAACATGTTTATGTTCTAAATATTTTAAATAAATAATTATATATATATATATATATATATATATATATATATATATATATATATATATACTTCAGAAATCAGGAGGTCAGTTGAATCTCTGCTTCTTAAGTATTTATTTTATCCAAAGAACCATTTAAACCACAAAACCGAAGTCTTAAATCCCCGCTTACATATTATAAAATTCCTCTTACACACATATGAGGTTGGATGAAAAAAGTAATGTATATTTCAGTTAGCCACCCTTCCACCGACCTATACATTTAAATACCCTTGCTCTTTTTCTTCTTCTTCTTCTTCTTCTTCTTCTTCGTCACATCCTCCTCCTCATTTTCTATTACACCCAACGTCGTGCGTTTGTTTATTTATTTTTTGAAAATAATAATATAGCGTTCATTAGTTTGTATGTTTGTTGTTTTTTGTTTTTTTTGTTTTTGGTTGTTTTTTTTTTAAATAAAACGTTAAGCGTTTATTTGATAAAAATCGCCTGAAGACACCGTAAGATTGAAACCATGGTATTCAACTGACTTCCTGATTTTTAAAGTTAAACGTTCCACGTGTTATTTTTTTCGCGTTTACTCTATTTTTTCACCTGTATATTGAACAATTTTCATACTGCTCTTTTCTGGTTTGATTCTACTCTGACCAATATCCTTTTGCTTGTATATATATATATATATATATATATATATATATATATATATAGAGAGAGAGAGAGAGAGAGAAAGAGAGAATCGGATAGTCTTCCGAGTGACTGTCCAAAATACGACATACATTCATGGATTATATAAAGGGTTTTTTTATTGATTGTCACAGATATTCGAGAAAGGGCAGAGAGCATATCGGTCGAAAAGTGAAAATCACTACGATAATAGAAAAAAATAGTTCGTCTGTATGAATGTAATAATAATATCAATCGTCCCAAATGGTATCAATCGCGTATTTTTGGAGCCTTTAACTGCAATGTCATATGATTTCGACATTTGGGCAATAATGACACAAAATGTATGTACTCATTAATAAGACATGTTTGAAGGAAAATTGCTGACTAATTACTCTGTGTGTCTGTATCTATATGTATATGCATGTCAGTATGTCTAAAATTTCAAACAGAGTATATCTGTAAAGAAAAATAAGATTAAAGAGAAAAACTAAACTTTTCTTAAACGACGCTTTTTGTCCTCTGAAGGACTTTATCCTTCTTGCATTTGCTTTGATAAAGTGCCTCAGAGGACGAAAAACGTCTTCTAAATTTTACCTTTTTGTCTTATATATATATATATATATATATATAGTATAAACACATATATATATATATATATATATATATATATATATATATATATATATATATATATATATATATATATATATATATATATATATATATATATATATATATATATATATATATATATATATATATATATATATATATATATTATAAACACACAGGAATCTCTCACCTATAATTATGCGTTTCTTTTCTTAATTTTCCCTTTGCGTAATTACTTTTCTGTTTAGCACCAAATTCTGATTACATAAAGCCACACATTTATGCACATCATGCGTGCAGGAATCTGTATACGTTAGGCAGTATGGTGATATTTGAACTGTGATCCTTCATATCGGATTCCGAGGCTCGTTTTGAAGGAGCGCATGGTGTCCCTGAATCAGAAGGCAAACATCAAGACCCACCTTTTCCCAGAATAAACACCAACCCACCAAAACGGAAGAGTAACTGCAAAAATAACAAGCATGACGATCGCCGACGGTAACCACCGCATAAATTGTATTCGAATGAAACTCCGGCCGGAAGTTCGTCGGCATCACGTGATGATTAAACACGCATGGTCGGAAACCTGGAATCCGCCATTATTATCACCGGTTTTGTTATTCGTTATTATTCTTCCATGTCTATTTTGATGCTATTTCGCCGTTGTCCAATTTAAATCTCATCTCATTTCGGACGCATCCGCGCACGAAAGTGTCCTAAAAGACAAGACATGGAGTAAAAGACGCATAACGATGCTTATCGACCATCAATAACAAATAACGTCGAATGAGTGGCGAAAGTTGTTCCTGGGCGAAATGTGGCACGAATATTGCACTAACGCTCCGTTGAACTGGATCGACCATGGCGGTCACCTTAGTTGTTAGGGCGGCAAGGAAATGTAACATTTATTGCGGTGAGTAGCCAATGTCTCTGATTGTCCGGTTATCCTAGTGGTTAGTGTCATTGACCATACAATTTGCACCCGGTGGGTAGCTTCGCGAAATTTAATTGCGTTATAAAGAGAACAAGATGACCGAGAAACGTCCTTGTTGCAAACATAGCAGAAACATCAGTTGATTATTATAGAATATAGCTTGATTTTTTTTTTCTTTTTAAGAATTAGCAAGTGTTGGCACTAGAAAAATAATATCTGTTATTTAATAGAAACAATCTCATATTAAATATGGAATTATTTTTTTTTTACGTCAAAGTAGATGGAATTAATTCCAATATGACAATTCCAATAAGATATCATGTCTCTTCAAGACATGAGGGGGTTGTTACTCTCCCCATCTTCTCTCTGTGAATTGCCGAGATTCAGTTAAATTTTAGGGAATTGGCGTCTCTTTGCCATTTCCCTGGGTTTTATTTCGGAATAATTCTTCTCCGCGTTTGGTTTCCAATCGTAATCGCGAGAATTATTCAAATGCCATGTCTATTCATTATATACGCGCTCATGGATGTTATACCTTTCATTATTACCTGTAAATTGCCAAAATATCTGGGAAAATGGAGGACTAGTTACACGTTGCCTAATTACGGCTGTTATGTGTATCATCAGTATTTGTTCTCTAAGAGGGATTTCAGTAGTGTATGGCAAAATACTTTCAAATACCGTATGAGCTCAGTAATTAGGCGACGATACCATTCCGTTCCTTTATAACTACGAGCTGCGAGATCTGACCTTCTGTGTAATCTATCCGCTGTGTTAGCCAAATACTGAAAGATTCTTACGCAGTATTTAAAGGCTCCAAAATCGTGACACTGATTTAATTCAGGGATCTGGTGCAGTGGTTATAAGCTATGGTTGATCAAAGTTTACTGTCAATTATTAACAGTGAATTCAATCCTTTACTGTCAATTATTAACAGTGAATTCAATCCTTTACTGTCAATTATTAACAGTGAATTCAATGCATTCTGGTTCCATAGGAATGAACATCACTGATATATAAGCATAATTCTACTTCAGGTTCATAATCTAAAAAGATTCGCCTGCTTCGTGCAGTCCCAGTAACACTCCTATGCAAGGTATCCCCTATCAGCCAACATAAAGAACACCTGAAGATGGAAGAGGGAACCTGGCCAAAAACATTTGTCTGTCAACATAGTAAATAACATAACACTTTTTTTTAGTTCAGTCCCACAGATGAAATCACAGCAATGACTAAACATTAGGCTGGTAACTAATTACCTCACCATGGGAGCGGAAATACGTATCTGAACAAGGAGACAGGCCACACCTCTCTTAACGAATTCAATTTCAACGCGTTGATCGACACACAAGCAAACACACGTACACACATGGCCTCAGTATTGCGTTAAGCGTGAAACAGACTGTGGCCTCTTGGTGTTGACTTCAGTGACCACTTTTATATTTACACTGATGGTGAGCACCATAGCTCATACATATATACACTACACACACATATATATATATATATATATATATATATATATATTATATATATATATATATATATATATATATATATATATATATATATATATTATATATATATATATATATATATATATATATATTATATATATATATATTATATATATATATATATATATATATATATTATATATATATATATATATATATATATATATATATATATATATATATATATATATATATATATATATATATATATATATATATATATATATATATATATATATATATATATATATATATATATATATATATATATATATATATATTATATATATATATATATATATTATATATATATATATATATATATATATATATATATATATATATATATATATATATATATATATATATATATATATATATATATATATATATATATATATATATATATATATTATATATATATATATATATATATATATATATATATATATATATATATATATATATATATATATATATATATATATATATATATATATATGTGTGTGTGTGTGTGTGTGTGTGTGTGTGTGTGTGTGTAGGCACCACTACTAGTTTCGCTGTATCTCAACTCATCAGTATGACTAGACATCCAATAGATTCAGGCCGGGATCAAAATGGATTTGACATCAATTAGAGTCTCTTACCTCGAGGCTATCGGCGTACCGCAGAGAAAGGGTATTTTTAACACATTATATTCGTTGATATATAAATGCCATACTCTCCTTCATATCGCTCAATTCTTACGAAGAGCCATGCGTTAACGAAGCAGCAGCCTTTAAAAATTACATTTTCTCCATAGTGCCCAATCGGCGAACGAGAGCATAAATAACCATCACAGACAACCTGTTCTCTGTATCACAACTCCTCAGTGTGGCTAAACGTCCGATTGCTTCGAGCCGGGATCGAAATTCGACTGATTTGACATCAGTCGGAGACCCTTATTTCCGGTGAAGAAAGGGGCTTTTTGACGCATTTATACGTGATATACAAACGCCATACAGGCCGCCATAGCGCCCAATTCTTAGGAAGAGCAATGCATTAAAGCAGCGGAAGCCGTTAAAAATCCCCGTTTCTCATTTGTGCTCAACCGGCGAACGGGAGCATAAATGATGAT